ACAACAACGCGTCCAGGTCCTCACATAGTTGGTCCCAGGTCGACGCCCCATGAGCGATATCGTCAATATACGAGCTTCTTCCTAAGACCGGACCCATTTGTGACGGAGCCGGAATATTGCGACGGAATACAGTCATGTCTAATTACGGGATCTCTGAATTCCTCACATCCACTTCAGGTTTCAGGGCTTCTTGAGGCTCAAGATCCAGGAACTCAAGGACTTCCAGATCAACCATCGCTTCCTCTTCAGGAGGTAGACGGACGAATCCCCACATACAGTTGTTAATGATGCTTTGATAAATTAACGGCGCATTCTTCAACCCAAAAAGCATTCTGAGCCATTGGAAGTGGCCGAACGGACAGGCAAATGCAGGGATCAGCTTTGCTCGTTCAGGCATTCGCACCGCCCAGGATCCACTCGCCATGTCGAGACTCATAAACCACATCGCGGACTTGAAGTCTACCAGTAGGTCATCGATCAGAGGTAGAGGATAACGGGATAGCTTAATGAGCAAATTCAGAAGCCGGTAGTCAATACACATCTGGATGTCTATGCCGTTTTTCTTCAGCACAATCACAAGAGGTGATGACCACTCGGACTCTGAATGCTCAATGAGCTCTCCTCCAGCAACTTCTTCAGGAGTTCAAACACCTTCACCAAGAAAGGTGCGGCAATCTGCCTCGCACGTAAAGCCACTGGTTTTGCTTCTCCAACATCGATATCACACACTACACCCTTAGCCGGGGCTGGAGCTGCGTTGCCATCTCCCAGGAAGATGCTGCGGTGGCTTTTCAGGATCCCTCTCATCTTGGCTTCCATCTCTGGAGTTGTGACCCCTGGAACTCCGACATTAGCTTCGTCGATGTTACACTCTGGGGTCAGTTCCTCAATTTCGGTGCATGATAAGTTGGTCTCGTAACTGTGCCATCAAATCACTTCCTTCTCTGAGATATACGGCAGGTTCCAGATCCAGTTCTTCGGCAGAGACTCGCATTACCCGAGCATATCCTGCCCCTAGCCTTTGGACCGGTGTCGAACAGCTCGTCTGTGACTGGACATCCACTGACGGTTCAGGGACCTGAGCGTCATTCTCGACATCTGCCAT